GCAAATCTTACGGGTCCAATAGGACACGTTGATACAGGAAAGTGCTGATGAGGCAAGTGTTGATTGGAGGTACTGGGAATCAGGCCATTTATAGTAGAAGCTACAACATGTGCTTCAGCACTGGATTTCCTTGATAACAAACCCTTCCCTTCTGAAAGGGCTCTGGTTTTCAATGTTTGGCTGTGCTTCCATATCATTGGTTCAACAGATAAGATTTTTCCCCTTTTTCTACACACACCCAAAGTTGCATGACTTGTTTCCTGTTCTGAATTCTCTCTGCCTTCTTGAGAGAATTCCACAGTTCTCCTAGGAAAATAAGGACTTAAAGAAATACAAAACCATTTTGCAGGGATGGAGGTAGTTCACCATCTCTTAATTTTTCATAGTGTCAGGAAGAAACCAGATTAAAGGGGCACTCCAGTTTTGTGAGAAAATTTGACATAGAGGTTCCCAAGAAATAATATCAATCTAGCCCTTTCTCTGCAATGACTTTCTTAGTTTTTCTCTTCACTGATGGATTCCTCACTCTACCTTCCACCTCTGGGCCTCTGCTAAGACAGGCACAGGTATTATTTGGACCACCCTGTTATTAAATAAGTGACCATTCTCCCAACTTCCCCCGTTTTTTTCTTTGCATTGTACAATTAAACAAGTCCTATGTTGACCTACTTATTCTTCTGTTCCTCCTGCCTTTTTTTTTCTGCCTAATGGGGTAAGTCTTCCTTATCTTTTGATGCACATTCTCTCCATGAGATATCATAACCATAGCAAAGCTCCCTAGCCCATGTGGCTACAGATATTTTACATTGCAGCAGTTGTATGATTTAAGGTTTTCTTCCCTCAAATCTCTCCATCTAAATGTCTTTGAATTTCTTTTTCTATATTTTTCGTATCTTGCTCTATTCAAAAGACAAAACAAGACTTCTCAGTAAAATTACAATTCTTTAAACTTCAATGGAAAGAAGAGTGCATTTGTAACTTCTTTCTTTATAGGCTCATCCCAGAAATGACTATATTGAAATATTTTGTGTGGTCTGGCACAATACCCTAGTGGATAAATTCTTACCTTTCCTGTACTGGGATCCTATATGGTTGCCAGTTTGTGTCCCAACTGCTCCACTGCACCTCCAGTTTCTTGCTTGTGACCTGGGAAAGCAGTAGAGGATTGACTAAAGCCTTGGGACCCTGCACCAGTGTGGGAGATGCAGAAAATGCTCCTGGCTCCTGGCCTTGGATTGGCTCATCTCTGGCTGTTGCAGCCACTTGGGATGTGAATTAGCAGACAGAAGATCTTCCTCTCTGTATAAATCTGCCTTTCAATAAAAGAAACAAATCTTAAAAAAAGCATTTTGTTGTGCTATGTCCCAATAAAAAAAAAGTCATTGCTTCTAATACCCTGGAGACCAAGTCAAGGCTCTTCAGTTCCTTTTCCCAGTACTTCATTATCTGGTGCCAGTTGGATTTCTTAAGAATAGTTTCATGCATTTCCAATGGGAACATATCTTCAGCCAACTCGTCTGCTCTTTTCTTTCACCGTGGATGCCTTTCTTTTATCTTCCTTTCCTTTGTCCTCAATTTTTATTATATTTTAAGTTCTACCTCTTAAGTAAGCCCCATATTTCCCAAGTTTTTACTCATATTTGGCAAGTCATATCTCTAGGTAATACTATATTCTAATTTTATTGTACTGAATTAAATAGCATCTTATTTTTATATATTTGTATTTCGTGACAATCATAATTTGCATATCCAAAAGGAAATAAAAATAGGATGAAATTCTATAAGGGCAGGTAGTACATAAACATCAGAGTATGATTTCCAAAATAAGGAAATAATTGTTAAGGTATGGAGGGTTTTTCACTTGAGACTTTATAAAAGACATGAAAACTATTGCTTAGAATGTGTGGAATAATACCTTATGATGAGAAATTCAGTTTGCATAATTATAACTCCAACGTACATGCACCAGAGCATATGGCATTTGGTAGCATTGTCCAAATGACAGCCTTTGGTCTCTCTCTCCTTGCCTACCTCAGTGCTGTTGAAAAACTACATACTGTGTAGGGGAACACCCAGCTGGCCCTCCTCTTCTTCCTTGAACCATATCTCATTTTTTTTTTTACTGTGTCACAATCATTCTTGCTTCATGGTTCTTATTACTACTAATAATTAGTCTCTCATAGTGTTAGAGCTATCAACTTCAGAAACAGCCTCTGAACGCCAGCATTTTGGTCTTCTATGTTAAACACAGAGTGTCTGCCAACCTTTTATGGGGATTTGAATTCTAATTCTGGCAGCTGGCACAAAGATTTTATAACCCAATGTAAGAGGATTATTTAAAAAAAATGCAGGCTTTAGTGTCAAATTTCTAAGTCTGCATTTTATGTAACAAGAGAATATCAGACTAGTAGCATGCCCTCAGTTTAAAGATCACTTCTTTGAGTGACTAAACACACCCACTCAAAGTCAGGTTTCTTTGCTTTGAATTGTGTGCCTTTTCTTGTAGGTAATTGCTGTAATGTGAAGGTGACTGGTTCATTGAAATTGTTCTTCCGAATGGATGCTGTACATTCCACTAGAGCAGACTCTATCTTTCATTCACCATTATTCATCTCAAGCTTTGGCCCAAGTTTCAAATATTTCTTGGATGGATGAATACCTCATAAAGTTAGTGGAGAAGGAAAAGAGATAAAGTATATATATCACTATGTAACATCATGAAGCACAGGCACAGGCAGCTTGAAATTTGAACTGGGACAGGGGTGGGGTTAGGGGTACTGGTGCTGATGGGGCTAGGGCACTGTGGTGTAGCAAGCTAATCCTCAGACTGTAGCCCAGCATCCCAAATGCGGACCAGTTGAGTCCTGGCTGCTTCATTTTCCATCCTGTTCCCTGCTAATGGTCTGAGAAAGAGGCAGAAGCGCCTAAGTTTCCATTGTCACATGGGAGACCTTGAAAGGTCCCTGGCTTCTGGCGTTGGATTTTGAACTCTGGCCACTGGGGCCGTTTGGAAATGAACTAGCAGATGGAAGACTTGTCTTTCCTCTTTCTGTAACATTGTCTTTCAAATAAACAAACCAATCAATAAATAAATCTTTCAGATAAATCTTAGGGAAAAAAATCTGAACCAAGCAGGTTCCTCTTTCTTTGTTGTATGACAACATGGACACTGTGTGTGTTATGTCCTAAAAGCCATCGACTAGCCTCCAACTCAAAGTACTTTGGATGATCCGAATGTGTTTGTATTTTTTTCCATTCATACACCTCCTAGGGTCTACAAATCCAGAGCAGTACCTCTTAGTGCTTTTCAATATCCCAATATTAAACATCCTCATTACACACTCATGATAATGTTCCAAACATCTTTTATAAATTGCCATCTTTGTTAGCCTGCCTGGAATCGTCTGAGAATGGAAAAGACCAGGAGAAGGCTCACAGATGTTAGCAAAATTAACTGCATCAAACACCATCAGGAGTTTCAAAGTTAAAGTTCCCATTTTCCAAAGTTTTGCTTAGGAACACAAGCGGATTCTTTCCAACAGGAGAGAACAAATCAACAACTACAGGAAACCCATTTTTAAGCTGCAGTAGATTGAGAGACTCTGAATCTCGCACTAGCTCCACAGTAGGTTCTTGGTTAAAAACTGTAAAATAAATGTGGAGGAATTAAAAAAAAAAAAAAAAAAAAAACCACTTCAGTGGGTGCCGGCATTGGTTGCCTTCAAATAAAGATATACTATGCCTTTGCTCTTCCTAACCCGCTAGGGCAGCGGCTTATTTAAGGGTATGGAGGCAGCCTGGCTTCATAGTCCCTGACGGTCCTGTCTTTCTCTGTTTTGGGGGAGCTAGAGTCACCCTGTGGAGGTTTGGGAAGAGGTAAGGAGCGGGACATTTCACTAATCTTCATGTCGGGTGAGGCGAATAAGAAAGTCAGGCTACAAACGCAGCCTTGGGAGAAGAATTCTACTTTTAAAAGTTGTAGTCGAACTGTATTAAAAAGAGAGGAAAGAGGCAGCAGAGAGAGTAGGAAAGACGGGAAGGCAGGCCGAGAGAAAAGGCACTGGTAAAGGAAAGTCGGGAAAGAGTGTTGCTCCTCTTCCTCTCCCCGGCTGCGGCAGTTGGGAAAAGTTTGCCAGCGCAGCTTTCGGGAAGGGCGAGGGCGCGCTTCCCCCCTCTACAGGCTCGCTAAGACCTGAGCTCAGTTCACCCTGGCCCTGGCCAGTGCCCCTGGTTCCCGTGATGCTCGCCCCGCACGCCCTTCCCCTCCCTCCTCCCGGAAAACAACCAGGAAAGATCGCGCCTGGACAACCACCTTGGCCCTCCCCCGCTCTGTCTGGGGGTGCTGAGGCAGAAAGCTCAGTCCTGCACATTCCCAGGCGAGAGGGCGGGAGGCGACGAGGAACGCCACGAGCTCCGGTTAAGTTCGTTCAGAGGACACAACGCAGGCTGCAGCGCCCGGCGGAGCTGCGGAGGGCACCGGCCAAGGGCCCTGAAAAGCGTCCGGCTCCCCACACTGCCCCACCACCCGGCGAGAGAGTCGCCGCCTGGAGTTCCGGCGGAGAAGGGGGTGGCGCGCGGTGTAGGGAGATCAGGAAATGGCCTTTTCCTCACTTCGCCGCCCGCTGAGCGTCGGGGCGAGCGGCAGACGTCTAGGAATGGACCACAACCCAGGGAGCGCCCGGGCCAAGTGCAGGAGGTGACTGGGAAGAGGCTCCACCCCCGGGCCGCCCGTCGCCAGCCGGGGAAGAGCAAGACGCCGAGGCCGGGTGCGGCCGAGAGCCCCAGGTGTGGCGGGTGCACGGTCGGCCAGGGTCCTCAAGGCACGGACGCCAACAGTGCGACCGCCCCCGGCGTCCAGGGCGCTCCGGCCGTGGGCCAGTCTCTGCCCCTCCAGCCCCCGAGAAAGCCTCAGTTCCCCACTTCACGTTTCCCCCACCTCCACCTCTTCCCAGAACTTTGGGGGCGGAGATACTAACTTTGTGTGGAAGCTGCTGTGGGGAGCAAGCGAGGACGAGTAGGCAAAATTTGATGGTGGAGAGCCGCTCTTTCGCCTTTCTCTGACGTCCCGTCTGCTAAGCCAGTGCTTTTGGAAGAACATCCAGTTGTCGGAAGTGCGGACGGCTGAGGGGAAAGCCGGCTTTCTCTTCAGGGGTAGTCCCCGGCCGTCGGTGGCGCCTGGCGCTCCGTGCGCATGTGTGCGCCGGCTTGGGCGCGGGGCGCGGGATTCTGTGCTGGGAGTGGAAGCGGGCACGGGGTGCATGGCCCCCAGGGGCGCCGCGGGGCCTCCGCCTCCGCCGTCCCCCCAGGCCTGGGTCTGGCCTGGAAAGACGCTAGCAATGGGGGCGTTGGCAGGCTTCTGGGTTCTCAGCCTCCTCGCCTATGGTTACCTGACGTGGGGCCAGGGCTTAGAAGGTGAAGAGCCAGAAGGGGCGTTCGGAGCTCCCGCTGGAGAGAGACTTGAGCCCGGCACATCCTCCACGTCCCAGCCACATCTCATTTTCATCCTCGCGGATGATCAGGGATTTCGAGACGTGGGTTACCACGGATCTGAGATAAAGACGCCCACTCTTGACAAGCTCGCTGCTGAAGGAGTTAAACTGGAGAACTACTATGTCCAGCCGATTTGCACACCGTCCAGGAGTCAGTTTATTACTGGAAAGTAAGTGTCACTACTTTTCTTCTTGGGAAAATCTTAAATAGCGAAGATCCAGCTCTAACTTAAGGGAGTGACAGAAAGTATGGGAAATAGGGGAATCAGTGATGGATGGATGAATGGTACTGAATGATGGTGAGTATTAAAATGGTTGCATTGTTAAAGATCTTGACAGACTGTTAATTGTTTCGTCCTTATTCTGTAGCTGTGAGTTCAGCCTGTGGGATGAAAACAAACCAGGAAGGTCGGGATTGGTCTGCCACTGGACAGAGGTTGACCAAACCCTCGAGTTTTAGTAGCTTCTCTCTTGTGGTTTCAGTTGCGGCACTGGGAGCACTTGCTTTAGTGAAGTTGTTCTTTAAATTGGATCCTCCGAGAGTGGCAGTAGTCTTTGGAAAAATAAAGAATATGTGTTTTCTCGGAATCTCTGCCCTGCAGGGACTTCTGCTTACAGCAAGATTCCCATTGCTTAGCGAACTGTCATAAGTTAGCATCACTGCCAGCGAAGAAAAAGAAACATCTTTTCCTCCAGAAGGAGGGGGTGGAGGAGAGAGAGAGAGAGAGAGAGAGAGAGAGAGGGAAAAGTCATTGTATTTCAGGAGTCATTCTAAATATTAATTCTACTCTCAGAAAGTGTAGGACCCTTAAAAGCAACAGATTGTTGGCTGGAAAATCTCATGTCCAGCTGGTGGCCTGTGGGTCAAGCTCACCTCTAATCCCAGTCACTCTTATATTCGTCTCATTCCGTAAATGTGTCACAAAATCCTGCTTGACCTCTTCAACTAGCATAAAATTTAGATGTACATCTCAATACCAATAGTAGTTGACACCATATGGCTAGAGTATATGCATTTATCCATCACAATTTTGTGTATGTTTTGTTTTCTTCCCAAAAGGAGAAAATTTGGTTCTCAAACCTTATCTTGCAGCGATAAAACACCTGTGTCTATGTTTTGCCTCTTGACTTTTATGTTTACTTAACTAGATGAAGCAGAAACTAGCTGGAAATGAACTGTAATCTTTCTCTTGGGCCAAAGATCGGGTCTTTGGTACTGTCAGTGTAAACATCTGAGATTTCTTTCCATTTAAGGTTTCCTATTTAGTATGTTTTTGTTTTGTAGACTAGAACTTTTAATAGCTACTGTGATTTTAAATTTATATTTGAATTTAAACATTTGAAGATTTTTTCACTTGCAGTTCTCCTTTTATTAAACCTTCAGGGATGGGAGGCAGTTAACCCACGGGCCAAGTAAGTCTCACACTCAACCTTAGGTAGAACTCAAAAATCAATAAATCAAATCAGGCTAATATTTAAGTTCATAATCTTGTAGAATGTAATGTTATAATTACCCAAATGGCTCTTGTCAGAGAAGCAGTTTCCCACTTCTGGAATCCAGAGATGATGAAGACAGTGGTTGTGGAAGCCGCATCCAGGCTTCCATTATTAATAAGGCAGAACCAAGAGTACCTGTCATTGGTTCGGTGAGTTCACGCTTTCCTTCTGGGTCCTCCAGAGTTAGAAGTAGATAATAAAAACCCAAATGAACTGAATTATTTTAAGTGAAAAAATATTTTATATGAAGTGTGAAAGCCTCAAATGTTATCACACGACAAAGAGGGACTGTAAAGCATGCACAAGGAAGTGAGTTTTGATAATACAGACAGAACAAACAGCTTCACATTATGTTTTGCTGATGTCAGAATGTAAAATTCTGTTTCTGCTATAGAAAGCTACAATTAATTCTGGATTCCTTTAATGATTTATTTCATGCCAAGCTGTCAACATGCATTTATTGAGTTAAAATTTCTGTACTGGGCCCTGCGCAAGAGCTTAGTGGCTAAAACCCTGGCCTTGTATCCGACAGGATCCCATATGAGCACTGGTTCATGTCCCGACTGCTCCACTTCCCACAAGTTCCCTGCCTGTGGCCTAGGAAAGCAGTAGAAGATGGCCTGAAGCTTTGGGATCCTGCAAATGCCTTGGGGACCCAAAGAAGGTTTCTGGCTCCTGGCTTTGGATGGGCTTAGCTGCAGCCTTTATAGCCATTTGTGTAGTGAACCAGCAGATGTAAGATCTTTCTCTCTATGTCTCTCTGTAAATCTGCCTTCCCAATAAAAATAAATAAATATCTAAAATAAATAAATAAAAATTCTGTACTGTAGCTGTGAGGCACAAGTAAGAGATTTATAAATAGGAGTTCTCAAATTTGAGTATGCAGGAAGAATCAATACAAATAATAGTTAAAATTCTTATTTCTGGGCCAACCAGCCAATCAGTTCTCAGATAAAGACCAGGAATCAGTACTGATTTACACAGCATGTTAGGTTATTCTGATGGTAGTACTATTAATATTAAAAGTATTACTATTATATGCTACATGCTAGTGAGCAGTGATTGTATTACTGAATTCTAGTGATTGTACTCTATTCTCATATACATGATCACAGTTAATCCTTACAATAACTATGAGGTTGTTACCATCATTACCCCTAGTTTGTGTAGGTGTGACAGCAGATTGTCAGACTGAGAAACAGCCCTTAAAGTATTCTGAGTTGCCCTGGTGAGATACAAGATTGATCAGAAAAAACGGTTGCCTGCATTTAATTTAATTCTAGTTCAAAGTAAAATTTTCACTTTCCTTTTTCATATTTTTGCAAATAAAGACATGGGGGAAATGACAATATGGTTTTAAAAAAAGATTTATTTATTTCCATTAGAAAGGTAGGTATTATCGCTTCTCGGCCTTTGGGCTAAGATCAAGTGTAGAAAGGTACATTTTTGCTGAGAGAAGGAGAGATAGAAAAGGAAAGATCTTCCATCCGCTCGTTTATTCCCCAAACAGCAGCAATGGCAGGAGCTGAGCTGATCTGAAAGATCCAGGAGCCTCTTCTGGGTCTCCCCTGTAGGTATAAGGTTCCAATGACTTGGACTATCCTTGTTGCCTTCCCAGCCCACAGGCAGGGAGGTGGATTGGAAGTGGATGTGTATTTTATGCAGACTTCATAATAGGAACAATTAGCAATCTGAACTGAATTCAGATCTTTGACAATTTTGCATTTTGCTTACTTAATCTCACTTGAAAATTATGGTGAGTATTGTTAGCACATGCAAAGCTAACTGTGATAGTGGACTGTTGTAATAGGATGCTTGATAACCTCAATATGCAAAGCCCTTAACCAAATACTGTCTCACACCGGGTAATCAAACTTCATAGATTAATTATTTCGTATTCTTAAACTTTATATAGATTGAATTACAGTGAAAACACTCTTAAGTTTTTAAGGTTTATTTATCATTTGTATATTTATGCTGAGTTACAGGGAAAGGGAGAAGGAGAGAAAGAGGGAAAGAAAGAGAATGAAAAAGAGAGCGATCTTCCCTCTACTATTCTACTCTGAATAATGAAAACAGCTGCTGCTGGCACAAGCCTAAGCCAGGAGCATAGAACCAGGTCTCTCCTGTGCTGGCAAAGACTCAAGCCCTTAAACTTTACGTGTCACTTTCTCAAGTACATTAGCACAAAGCTAAATTGGAAACCAAGTAGCCAGAACTTGGGCTAGCACTTTGGTACGAGGTTATTAATATCTCAAGCCACCACTTTAACCCACTGTGTCACAGTGTGGACACCAGATTCTTAACTTTTAATGTCATTACATTTGTAGCTTCTTTCCATGTTAGCTATAGCCATAGTCCAGTCACTGTCATGACTAATAGTACTAATTCATAAATATGCTCAATGTATTTATGCATTCTACTGTTGAGAGACATTAGAGTTTTTTCCTGTGCTGGGCTACTGTGAATGGTGCTACCATAGATAAACTTGGCCTACATTTTGTGGTGAATATTTATATTCATTTCTCTTAAATGTCTGTCAACAAGTAGAATTACAGAGTTATAGGAGTGTGTGTGTTCAGTTTTTTCATTAAAAATGCCTAGTAGTTTCCCAAAGTGACTGATTTAGTTGAAACTATGGCAGTTGTATGCAGATTTAATTGCTTCACACTTGAGCTGGCATTTGGTATGGTGGGTTTTTTTGTTGTTATTTGTTTGTGTCCCTTTTTGTCTTAGCTTGTGATGCACTGTGCATCATTATGGTCTATTTTTGCACTTCCTTTATGAATAATGGAAGTTGGTCATCTTTTCATATGTTTATGGATCATCTGTATATTCCCCATTAAGAAGTATTATTGATCCAAGCCTTTTGCTTGTTTTCTCTTCAGGTGATTTGTGGTGGTTATTTATATATTTATATGTTCTGTTTTTTTTTTTCAGGTTTTGTGTTGTACTGTATCTTCTGTTGGTTTTTCATTTTCTTGAATAATGTTTTTGGTGAACAGATGGTTTTAATTGCACTGTAATCCAATTTATAGCTTTTTTTTTTTAACGCCCTACTTAAGATAGTCCCAAAATCAAGACAATGGCCAGCTTTTTCTTAAAAGTTTTTACTTTTCAATTGAGACCTAAAATGTATCTGGATTAAAATTTCAATAGGGTGTAAATAAGGACTTAAAATATGTGTGTGCATCCTTTTGCCATATTTTACTGATTTAAAAAATACATCCTCTCCCCAATGTACTGAAGCATTATTTTTTTTTCTTAAATCACCTAAAAAAATGCTTGATTTCTTCCTGACTTCTATTATATTCCACTGTTCTCTTGGTCTTTTTGCACCCATAGCAGTTTATATTTAATATAGCTTGTTATAAATATTGATATTTAGAATATAAACCCACATTTATTCTTCAGAATGCCTTTGGCAGTTCTTTATTCATTCATTCATCTTAATAGGAAAGAAGAATGTAGAGAGTTAAAGATGCAAATCAGTTCCCAGATGTTGTCTGGGGAATGTGAGGAAGTTCCCTTTTGATTTTCTCTGTCCCAAGTGAAGTAATAGATGAGATCACTAGCTGAGAATAAAAATAAGGAAGCTTAAAGAGAAATACAGAAAATTCCTTTAGGAATAACAGTGGGAACTGAGTAGGAAAAAGCAAAGAAATGAGAGCCT